GAGCCAAGAACTAAGACTTCTTGAAATCCAGCCTGGGAAAATTTATCTTTGCTCTAAGTAAGGCTTGATCTCAGCTATAATCACTACTTTATTCTATAATCTCTTGTCTATCCTGCAATAGCTAGAACAGGTCTCAAATAGTACCTCACACCACTCTGTCACATAAACCTCACCAAAAGTACTTTCCTTGCAGGTAACAACCTACATCATTCTAGTTATACTTTGTGACTCTTGTTAGGGGCTATATAAATTTCGCTCTAGCTACTCCCGGCACACAGGAACACACACACCCACACACACACCTTGGCTTCTGCAACTTCCTGCTCCAGTTCTTTGTTTTGATCCTTAATCTAATTTCGCTTTACATTTTGGCTCCCTCCATTGTTTCAATCATTCACACACACACAAAAAAAAAAAACTAAACACCTTTTGTGTGCTAAGACTTCCCAATGATGGTATTTCCACAGTGACAATGCCTGTGACCTCAAATGAAGAACTCTTATTCTAATGTGGGACTTCATAAACCTTTCCTTTTGAGTCAATACCTTTCCTGGAATACCGTTCTTTATTCCCAAATCTAAATTCAGCTGTTTTGCTTGTCAAATCATCATGGTCCCTCACTTAGGGCTTGCGAGTTTTCTAATCTGAAGGGCTGCTTTTGCTTTTCAAGAGCCTCATTCATCTCTTGATAGCTTCAGATAGATAACTCCAAATAATGAGGAACCAATGCATCTATATAAGGTAACTGTGGCTGCATGCCAAACTATCCAAAAACTCGGTCATAAACATCTCATGGACTTGTTCTAGGCTGAGCAGACTGGCCCTTAGCTGCAGCAGCTCTTGTACACATGTCCCCTTGCCACTTGGGGAGCAGACCGAGTTAGTCATGTCCTTCTCATTGGGAAGGCATACACACAAGGAGTGAACCCAATTCTAATGTGCAAGCACTTTTCAAGATTCTGTCACATTTGCTGACTACATTGGTCAAAATATGCCACATGAATAAACTCAGGGATAAAGAATTATGTTCTACTCATGCTGGAAAGGCCTCAAAGACACACTGTAGAGTATGGATACAGAAGTACATTGGGGATACTGATGCAACCTTTCCATCTTCTCATCACCTTGACCACCTCTGCTGTAGGTTCTCCTTTACACTGCATCCACATGTGTGTTCAAACCGCACATATGTGTGCTATCATAAAAGGTGTCATCCTCTGGGTAGCTTTTTTTTATTTGCATTTAGGCTTCTCAAATCATTTTGCTTACATGACAGTCAAATTCACAGCCTTGTCCTACATTGTCAAATGCCAACATCTCATGCAAGCATTTTCTTACTACAAATACCTTTTTTTTGAGACTAGAAATTGTGGAAATGTGATTCGTAGGGAAATATAATTAGTAAAGAATGTTCTAGATATGAATTTCAAAAATTAATTTTGTGCTTTTTGATTAATAGATGAATTTCTTCCTAAGTCAGGAGTCAATGTCTTCTGTTTTGAGTCAGCTTTGAAAATGTGACATGAGAGGAGATGTACAAATGTGAGTGATTAGGGCTAAATGGACACATGACTCCCCATGTGTTCCTTGTGTTCATGAGAGAACTGGTAATTCTGAGATTGTATAAGTTGTTGACATGAGGTTGGAGTCTTATTGAAGGCTCACAAAAAGAAGTTCATAGAGCATCTCTGTACTAATGTTCTTGGTATTTTGGCACAGTATCTTTTTTTGTGCTATACAGGTGATGGCAGAACTGAGAGTGACCTTATAGCACTAAGCTATGATGGAAAGATGACTGAATACTAGACTGTTATAAACCATAGCATTAGCAATGTGTGTTCAGATAAGTCTCTTAACCTCTTTGAATCTTAGTTTTCTCATTTGCAAATATAGGCTGGGACCAGATATTCTTAAGACTTTGCTTATCTCTTAGAGTCTGCGATAGCGAAAAATAACACTTTAGTTAATAATTGCAAAACTTTTTAACTATTCTTTAGCATTGCAGAGTTGCTAAAAGGAAAAATAGGAATTTTCCAATGACCTGGATAAAAGCCAGTCTTGTCCCCCTATTTATGAATGATGTATTATGAAAAGATAAAACATGCTACAGATAATGTCTTCAGTCCTGTGCATCTTGAAACTAGGTAAGAAGATACAACTTACTTTATACAAACCCACCTTTTGTATAAAGTTATATAGAAAAACAGCTGAAAATGTTTGTCTCACTGATAATGGGTTAACATTATCATGTTTATATGTAGAAAATCCTATTTCCCACTTAACAAATGCATGTTCTAAATGATATAATGAAGGCCTTACTAGTGAATTGTGACTAGGATGTCTTTCAGTACCTCAAGAACTCCTTTAAGAAATCAATGATAGTGGGGCCCTCCCTGGTGGTGCAGCGAGTTAAAGCACAGCACTAAGAAGCTTAAGCCACTTCCGCATGAGTTCGATTCCTGACTGCCCCGGAGGAGATCCACATGGCGCAGCAGACCTCTCCTAACCTGCCTGCTGCTCCCCTCAGCAGTGTACTTCATTGATTTGCCTGTTCTGCTCCCCTCTGTCTCTGGTGAATCCTCTCACCCTCTGCATCTCTGGCCTGTGACTTCTATATGCATAAATAAATAAATCTTTAAAAAAAAAAAAAGAAATCAATGATAGTGTATTCCTCAAATCTCCAGTGTAGTTATTTTAGTTACAAATAGAAAGGAATTGCAAAGATACTGTAATTGATTTGCTGGCAAGTTTACAGCCTCTATCAATGATTTATTGGCTTTAAATGGCTCCCTGTGAATTTCAACAGTTAAGAGTTATCCACTTATTATTTCTCAGTGCATTAGGCTATTGGTATGATAGGCTGTCTCTGGATGTAGGCTATGTCTTCCATCTACTTCTCACTATCATTAGTGAGTTAGATATTTTTTAGACTATAATTATTGCCACTTGAGCTCTTAGCATCCACACATTCAATAGTTCACTGGAACTATATTACCAGGAGTCAAGTGTTTTAGACACCTGAGTGAAAACAGTCATTATAAAAAAATAAAAATTTCCCACATTGCTCTATAAATAAATGAGATAATATCAGAGCACTTTGTAAATTGTAAAATACTATGCACAAGCAATTTGCAATTTTCTTGTTATGTTTAAACTATTTTCTCATTGTTCTTGATGGTAAAATTAACAAAATCTTTATTTTTGCACACATGAATATTAGCTGCTATAGTTTTTACCATCAGTTTTAATGTCCCTAAATGTTATCTTACCACTGAAGTTGTGATAGCCGCTTTGTATGTGTGTGTGTCACAATAAATACATTAAAAAGTTCACAATGCAAAATTAGACACTATTCCTTGATGGAAGTTTTTTTTCCTGTCCTTTAATTAAAATCTCACTTTAGTCAAACACATTGAATTTTAGGTCCATTTTTCCTTTTCTCTTAAATTTTAAACTACCAAGAGAGACTTATGGGAATATTATTTTTAATTTAATCTTCATGTAGGTGCCCAATGTCAATATAACTTCACATTAAGGCATAGAATATTGTTTACTGTTTTGTCATGAACTCTTAACTATCTGTTTGATAAAATCATTTCATTGTCATCCCTCTAAGATGTTGCTCTCAAACACTTCTGGCTATGTTTCTTTAATTTTTTTTAAATATTTATTTATTCATACAGAACTGGGGTACAGGGCAGAGATGCGGAGGGTGAGAGGATTCACCAGTGACAGAGTGGGGAGCAGAACAGGCAGATGGATGAAGTACACTGCTGAGGGGAGCAGTGGGCGGGTCAGAAGAGGTCTGCCACGCCATGTGGGTCACCTCCGGGGCAGGCGGGGATCGAACTCATGGGTGAGTGGCTTTAGCTTCTTAGTGCTGTGCTTTAACCCGGTGCACCACCAGGGAGGGCCCTGTTTCTTTAAATTTTTATGGAGACACTGTATCAGAGAAATATGCTATGATAACCAGCAACTTTTATTACTCTATCAGATGAATCTATATTAAAGGAAATCCACTCTACATCTAACATATAAGCAAAATTGAATTGAACTTGTGCCCATCAGCTTAAACTAGAGTTTCTCAACCTCAGCAATACATACATTTAGGCTAGGTAATACTCTGCATTGGAAGAAGAACTGTGCCTTCTATAATGTTTAGTGTACCTCAACTCACTAGACGCTAGTATTAGTTCATCTAAATTTTAACAAACAAAAATGTCTGCAAATGCCCCTGCAGGCAAAATCAACCCCAACTGAGAGCCACTGGCTTAGATATAGATCAATCAGGCTATTCTTCAACTTGGTTTATATATTTTTATAGGAAGAAGTTTTGATCTGCTTAATTTAATGTGTTATTACCCTCTGCTACTAAGATTAGAGGAGATGTTCAATGTCTGCAACAAACTACTCATCTGCAATAAAGACCACTAATTTATACAGGCTTACTGAGCTCTATTTATGCTACCAAGTGCTACTTACATGTTATCTCATTTAGTTATGTTTCTGCTTTAGTTCTGCTGTTGATGCAGTAAATACAAATTCCTAGAAACTTTTTATACAAATTCTAGAACAGCAAATATTCTAGACTTTTGAAACTCCTAAACTTTTTTTTTGTAAATGAGAATTATTTTATTTTTTTTAAATTTTTTAGCACATTTTACAATTATCTGATTCCAGAATCTGTGTTCTCCTGACTATGCCACACAAGCCAGAGTTACATTTTACAGATGAAGACACCGTGGAGACAGCCCAAACCTGGCCCTCCGACACCCATTCTCAGGCTATGCCACCCTGCAACCTCTCCAAGAACAGGCAGGCACTGAGAAAAGAAAATGTGTCTGGATTGTTTGATCTGAATTAGTGACCATCTTATGCTTACCTGCAGGCCACAGAATGCTGCCTAAATGGGATTAAATTATGTTTGTGCCTCTGTGAACCGTCTATGGGTAGAAGACAGTTTTTCATTAGGGGCTTTGTGCTGTGTTGGCTCTGACATCCTTCCCTTTATCCTGTTCCATCACAGCCCATGTTGATTGACGAACTCTATGACCTAGTGCTAGATGCCATCTTTGGCTTTAGCTTCAAGGGTGATGTTCGGGAGCCATTCTGCAGCATCCTGAGCGTCCTGAATGGACTCACCGTGCCTATCACCAGCATCGACATTCCCTCAGGTGCTGGGTCCAAGGAGGGTGGGGAGATTAGGACCCTTTTCTGTTTTGCGGTAGGCACTTAGAGTCCTCATTCTTCAAAGTTCAGACCAAGCCTGAAGTAAACTAAATTTAGGGGACAGACAGCTTAATGGCTTCCTATAGCCGGATCCATGTTGCTGGGGAGTAAAGTTCAGGAGTGCTCTTTACATGCTCACTCCAAGAGAACAAAGCCCAAGGGTACATGGAACTCCAAGGTTGCAAGTTCCTCAAGTGGTAGTCCAAGGGGCTTCCTACTACTTTAGGACAAGAGTTACACGGGACTCAACGTCTGCCTTTCCCACTCTTCCTGAATACCTCTCTTTTCAGGATGGCGTGTGGAGAAGGGAAACCCTGGAGGTATCCAACCAGACCTGCTCATCTCCCTGACAGCACCCAAAAAGTCTGCAACTCAGTTTACTGGCCGCTACCACTACCTGGGGGGTCGTTTCGTGCCACCTGCTCTGGAAAAGAAGTACCAGCTGAACCTGCCAGCCTACCCTGACACTGAGTGTGTCTACCGTCTGCAGTGAGGGACCGTGGGTGGGCATTCTTCCCAATAACGCCTCAGTCCTCTCTCGCGGAGCCATGGAGTCCCAGGAACTCTTCTGGCCATGAAAACCATGACAAGAGCCAAAAAGCAACACTGGAGATGTGGGGCCATCCCCGGGGGAACAGAACTGGCAAGAGGGGTTATTACAGCCTTTTAGGGGCAATGAAAATGACCTTGAGTTGTTGAAAAGGCTCCCAAGTGTGGTGTGCTGTCCTTTACTCACAGTTCTTGCCCATCGAGGAGGCAGACAGGGATGCTGGACAAGGTTCTCCAGCTTTCTCCCGTTTAACAGTGTGGCTAGACTGGAGGGTCTCAGAAGCTCTCTTCAAAGATATACAAGCAAACACTGAGTTGGTACTCAGGACCCTCAGGATGGGAAGATGTCAAGACCACACGTTGGCCGGGAGCCTACGCCAGCGTTTGTTCAACCACAGGATAGTGTTAGAATCTAGCAAGATGTAAGTGGAATTTGGCTCATGACCTAAATTTGTATGTTTTTCTAGCCTTCACAACATGTCACAGTGCTTTTCACATAAGTCTACATTTTTGTTTAAAGTCCCGGAGCGGTTCCCCGCCGAAGGGATGCCTCACAGGACGGGACCTGCAGGACTCGTCTCTCTGAGGCTTCAACTCCTGAAAAGGAGTGGAGCCCCACACTGTCCTGATCTTCAGTCTTCTTTTGTTTCTTCTTTTTGGTTCTCTGATCTGAGCTGGCTCTAGCTCTTTCCTCCTCCTCCTTCTCTCGTTGCTGCCATTTCCTCTTCTTACCTTGGCCACTTAAGCCATCATGTGCTCTGCTCTCTGCACCCTCAGTCCTTCTGCCCTCGCCATCATCTCTTCCGCTCCAGACCTCCTCTTGGTGCCATCGTCTTTTCTTCTTGCTTCTGCTTTTTCTATTACCACATTCTCTACCTTCTGCTTTCCTGGTGCCACCATTTACAACTGCCTCCTCAGCATCCTCCTCTATGCCCAAGTCTCTCTTTTCAGCATGCCGCCGCCTCTTCTTGTTTCTGCTGTGTGGGCCTGTGCATGCTCTGCTCTCCATGTCCTCCACCTGCTGCCCCTTTACCTCTTCTTTTGTCTGAGGCCTCTATCTCTGCTCCATGGTGTGGCATCTTCTTCCCTTTCCTGCAAAACTGCGTAGTTTGTTCTCTGCTCTTCAGTTCCCCAAGGTCCTCTATTCCTGTAGCCTCTTCCTCCTCATTCCCTACAGCTGCTCCCTCGCTCTCATCTGTGACCTTTTCTTGATGTCGTTTTTTCTTCTTCTTCCTGATGCCCTGTTCAGTGTGTTCTGGGCAGTCCTCTTCTGCATTCCTTTCAGCTGTTGTAGCCTCTTCCTCCTCTTTCTGCTTCCTTTTCTTTTTTTTGGGGGGGGGGGCTTGCTCTCAGCCTGCAGTTGAGGTGTCCCAGGGTCCTGGCCTTTGAGATGAACCAGGAAGGCCTGCTCCTAGGCCTCTAACCGAGCAAGCTTAGCCTTCATCGTGATTCCAAGACGGGCAGCCTTGTGTGCTGTTCGCCCCTCACAGGCCTGGAGCAGCATCTCATCCGCCAGAATCTCTGGTGGCGGGGACTCCTGGTTGTCATCATCACTGTTCTCCAAGTCCTTGTCTGGCTTCTCTCCACCTGAAGTCAGTGTGGCCATTTCCACAAACTTCTGATACTGCAAGTTGGGCTTGGGCTGATTGTGACGGGGGGGGTCTCCGTAGAAAGATGCCATATCTGTACTCCATCCTGATTCGTTTCCACTACTAAGCTGGCAGCAGTCTTGTTGAAGAACTCATTCTACCAGTGGTTTGTGAACTTGGCAGGGTCATGTCCCACCCCATGAGTGTCCTGTTTCAGTGTCACCCTGAGGGCCTGGGTGATTCCATTCTCTCTCCGGCCCAGAGCTTTGCCTTGAGTCCATCCATGCTTTAGCAGCTGCTCCTCAGCAAACTTCATCCCACAACTCTTGACCTCTAGGGTGATACTCATGGTGAGACGAATCACTGCCCATGAGCCATCGCGAAAGACAAGGTCACTATCATTCCGTCAGGCTGGGTCCTCTCCGCAGATACACGTGCCAGACCCGACACGGGTCTAAACTCTTTTTACATTCTTTGCTATGCTCATTTTGTGATCTTGAGCAACTTATTAAACTTCATATGTTTTAATTTTGACAACAGCATTAGTTATTGTCATCATTCTTACCCATGTAAGCTATGGTTTGAGAAAATAATACTCTTTGGTGTAGAATTGTGTCAGAAACTTCTTAGTTTGGTCTAGACCCTTTTATTTATATTTTATTTTGTTTCCCTGCACTGGAGACAAGTTCATAAAGACAGCTCTCTGGGAGGGAAAGGGTAGGGGGGATAGGTAAAGGGAGTTAATTTTTTTGTGGTGGGCAGACACGAAACATTCAATGGTGGTCATAATGTAGATGATGTTGAAATATAAAGCTGTACACCTGCAACTTATACTATGTTGCAAACCAACATCTCAATTTTAAAAATATCTCTAGTTTCCCGGGTGCTTACTAACATACTATTTTATAATACTAGAGTTTCTTTTATTTTGTTTTTCCTTAAGGTTAGAGACATACTTGGACACTCAATAAATCTTTGCCAACAGACTGCATAAACAAACATGAATATATACAAAATGATTATCTATAGAAATTACACAAGTTTTTTCCAAAGAATATCAGCAATCATTTATATTCCAGCAGTCGATGATCCACTGTGAATAGTTGTGTGCTTTGGCATATCCTAGCAGCTTATTTCTCCAAATTAAGAATGCTGAGGATTCCTATCAGCATTTTCTCAAAGTACTGCACTATCATCAATAACAATTCCTCACTTAAATCTTGGTGGACATTAACTGTAAGATATGAAAACACTTGTACACACAGAGGAAAGATAGAAAACTTTGCCATCAGCTTAATTATGTTAGCTTGCCTTACAAAACTGTACTTCACATTAATTTCTTCTTTCTTCACTTATCCAGTCCTTTCATCTCAGAAAATGCTTAACCACCTTCTGAAGACCTATTATATAGGGTGTCAGGCAAATGAGCTATCCCCATAGCAAGAGAATAATGAATGCAGTGTCACCGGAAGACAAAAAATAGCCAGCAGTATTAATCATTGATAAATGGTATTGAGCATTTTCTTTTCTCTTTAAAGTGAAAGGTAAGCTTTCTACAAAGCATTGGTAGGGTGGGTAAACAAAAAGGGACTGGGAATTTAGGGCTGACTTAAGCAGGAGGCAAGTTTAGCTGTAGTGTCATCCACTTTGTACAGTTGCTAAATGTGCCTGGCACAGCATCTAGAAAAGGAAAATATTTTGACTACATTTATTTGAAAGAAATTAAAAGCATTAGGTCGCATTTTCAAAGGCAGTCCTGCAGTCCATTTCAGAGGAACTAATATATGAATGCTTTCATTTTGCACTACATTTGAGGCTTACAGGTATGATTCCATATTGATTACTAAATGTTATTTAGTAATATGAAATCACATTTTTATTTTTAAAGGTTTATTTATTTATGCATATAATGCATATAAGAACTGTGGTATAGGCCATAGGCATAGGGGGTGAAAGGACCCACCAGAGACAGAGTGGGGAGCAGACAGGCAAATTGACTGAAATATACTGCTGTGGGGAGCAGTTGGGGGGGGGGTCCGGTCAGAGAGGTCTGCTTTGCCATATGGGTCATCTCCCTGGCCAGGGATCGAACTCATGCTGCAGTAGCTAGGGATAGCCTCATAATGCTGTGCTTTAACCCATTGCACCACCAACATTTTTAGAACTGCACTATGAAATCTTTATTTCCATATATGGGCAATGGTCACTAAGAAATATGAGCCCTTTGTCCTCAAATCAAATAATTATTTCCCTTAAAGCTGTGAAGGATAAACCATGGAAAGTTACTTGAGATCATATAGTATTCATTCTTCTTGCACAGACAAATGGAGATTTCAGGGTTAAGAAAATGAGAATTGGGTCCTCCCTGGTGGCTCAGCGGGTTAAAGCACAGCACTAAGAAGCTAAAGCCACTTCAGCATGAGTTTGGTGCCCGTCCTGCAGGTAACCCACATGGCACAGCAGACCTCTTCTGACCTGCCTGCTGCTCCCCTCATTAGTGTACTTTGTCAGTCAGCCTGTTCTGCTCCCCACTCTGTTTCTTGTGAATCCTCTCACTGACCCTGTACCTCTGGCCTGTACCCCAGTTCTGTATGCATAAATAAATAAATATTTAAAAATAGAAAATGAGGGCCCTCCCCAGTGGCGCAGCGGGTTGAAGCACAGCACTGAGAAGCTAAAGCCACTTCCGCACTAGTTCGATTCCCGCCTGCCCGGGAGGTGGCCACATGGCGTGGCAGACCTCTCCTGACCCTCCCGCTGCTCCCCTCAGCAGTGTACTTTGTCGATCTGCCTGTTCTACTCCCCACTCTGTCTCTGGAGAAGCCTCTTGCCGCCCCTGAGCCTCTGGCCTGTACCCCAGTTCTGTATGCACAAATAAATCTTTAAAAAAAATAGAAAATGAGAATTATTGTATTCCTTCTGTCATAAGGTCTCATTTCCAGAAGCTCTTCCTTGAGAGAATACAGTTATTAACAGGAAACATGAGTCTAAGCACCAATTAGATGAAAAACAGTCAAGGATTATGGTAAGGAGATGCTCACAGATACATATTGATGTTAAAGTAGTTGTTATGAGACACCTTTCTCAATCACCTTGTAAAATAATGTATGAAATCCTTGTACAACACACCATATGTTAGCTAAGGCATCTTCTCAGGCAGTATAAGAAGCTAGTTCTGAAAATAAAGGCAGCACTGATTAAGTCAAGAAACATTACTATTTCATGCAAGTGTCAAGATTTATCTATAGGACAATCAGAAGCTGAAGAGCACATTTGTGATATTTTCTAATTTATAAAAATGAGAGAATTTTAAAAATTATCCTTAAAAGTCGAAACAGAGAACGCTGAACATATGGTCTAAGAGGTGGGGTTCATTAATTTCAGAACCATTATTCCTTTT